GACTCTTGTACTTCCTCTTAAATGCGGCGTCATGAAAATCTGAGCTCACAGAGCATGTTGGAATTTATGGAGATAAAATATAAAATTATGAGTTCAGATGGGCGCTTAAAATCCAGAATATAAGATTTGACCTGTTCAGATGGTGGTTCTATAGAAAAGTGGCTGAGGAACAGTTTTTCAGTTACATTGTAGGAGCAGAAGAAATCAGGGAGATTTGGGATAAGGTGTAAAATATGGGTTTGGGAAAGGATCATGGTATCAATAATCCATGCATTTCGTATTTCTAGAAGGAGTCGTTCCGGATTATGAAGTGATTATTACTTTCTAGATTAATAATTCGCTCCATAAACGATTTCATTTAGAATTGTGAAGTATATGGAACGAATTCATAATCTGCAACGAATTCTTTTGAAACTGAAGTGCATAGTCTTTTTCCATTTGTAGCTCAATTCGGGAAAATAATTTCCTACTTGCTCAATTGGAAGTTGGCGTGGCCTAATAGGTCCCTTCTTATTAAGAAGTACATCTCCGCATCCATACCAGTGAAATATAATAATGCACATTTGTCTGGATGGTGTGGGACCAATAATAGTTCTGTAAAGCAAATACCTACCTTATTTCGAAAGATGTTTAAAGCAGTTGTAGCAACGTTAAAAATTATTGCAAGAGTATGTCGGATAAATTACTGATTTTGTAAGCTCGGAGGGAAATATTTCGATACAATGTCACTAGCAATTAATGTAGCGTTGAAACAAATGTAAAGTGCTGCATCAGTGTTTGATATAACAGTGCGTTGCATAACATATGTTTAATTATTTACTTGATTCTATCCTGCAAGTGACATATGCAAAAAAAAAAACCTCTATGTTAAAGTCAGAAAACAAATGTAGTTATTTCAATGATCATGCATTTTTGATAAAGAAATATATAAATTACTAAATTGATTCTTTGAAAAGTCAGCATTACTATTTTATAACATTAGTTTATTTATCTTTTTAAAAATGGCTCTCATAATTATTTAATGCCCATTTGACTAACAGCATTATTACCTTATGCTTCTTAATCCTTCCTATTATATACATATGCTTCACGCTGACATTAGAAATAGTTCTTCATTTTTCATTCGCGTTTAGTATCATCTAATCGTAATAGATATATTACTCTAATGAAGTCAGCACTCGACTGCTATACAACTGCAATTTTCATACGATATCGAGTAATTTAATAACTGATATATATTATTAAGAACTTTTCAACAATATGTGCAAATCATCTTGATGTTTAGTAAATGATCCTTGGGCACTTTTTTGTTGGAAAATACAGGCAATATTTGATTGGCGATAATTGAAAATTGTCGACGGAGCCAAATGCTAACTGCATTATGTTATATGTTTTAATTGCAATAATGGTAGCTAGAAAACAAAAATGGTTTTTCAAGTCAGTAAATAGTGCTATACAAAGCAGTTATATTAAGTAATTGCGTATGTTAAGAAAACCTCAGGCAGCTTGCGTAGATGACTGCGTGCTTTTAAGTAGTTATACGGTCACTAGTATTTTAATGCTTGTATTTTAGAACAACAGAAATTCAACTATCTCTCATATCAAAACCATTCTTCAAATTTATCTAATCAAAATTCAGAATTTCTACACCAATTCCACACTCGATTTCTGAAAGAGTACCCTTTTTCCTTCCTTATGTCATCCCAAAAAATTAAAATCATGCTATCAAGAAATGTTTGAGTCCTTAGTTCAGTTGTAACCATCACTTAAGATCATATATATAATATTCAGTCCATGAAATCAATTATTCACTACTTTCCTTTATTTTTTTACATTTCAAGTAAAATTGATTGCTAATAAAGCAATTACTTAGAGTGAGTCATGATTTGCTTTGCAAATCTTTATAAGAGAAAAATTTTTAAACAATGAGTCAAATAATGAGTGTTCTTGAAGTATAATATGTTGATTTCAGAGTTATCAAAACGTGTGTCGTCGCTTCTTCATAGCTGTTTCTTCTTCATCTGTTACTGCAATTAAAATTTGCAGAGTCCACTGTGAGTGTACAAATATTTCAAATTTCGAATTTCAAATTTCTGATATAAATTATGTGAATTGAAAAAATTTAACATCTTATTTTCAATCATTATTAGAGGAAGATAAAGCATAGATCACAATAAATCATTAGATTCGAGCGAAGACTCAGAATTAGAAATGGTGCATGACTCCAGTAATTCATTAAAGCTAAGCAGCTGAGGAAAAGAGTGTAACTGATATTCAGTCAAGCAGTGTTTATGGAAATTTTTTAAAATTTATTTAACGATTTTTTGAAGAAAACAGACAAATAAGTTTAACTTCAAATGTCAAATATGTTCCCATTCTCTGTAAAATTTGTCTATAGAATTCGACTACAAATAAAACTTTAATCGAATACATACTGGTAAAAGGTCATACATTTGCAAAACCAATGAGGATGAATTTACAATTTCCAGTAATTTGAAAACATATTTGCGCATGGTAAAAGACTCTTTCAGTGAAAGCTTTGTTGTATGAAAAATGTTCAAAAAGCAGAGCTCAAAGATAAATAAATATTCGCAAGCATACCAGTGAAAAGTCATACATATGCAAGAAAAGATTCCCAAGTTCTGATAATTTAAAGAGTCATATGCATACACGTATTGATAAAAGACCGTACTATTGGGATTATACGAGAAAATTTTCAAGCAAGATGCGCATTTGAAGATGCACAAATGTGCACATATGACTGCACTCCTAAAACTGTACCCATAGCTTTTTTTAATGATTTTTGGGCATAACTCTATTTTTGAAATTATGAATATTTTTGTGTTTTGTATTTTTTATTACAAATACATTTTATAAATTATGACTTTATGTTTCACATTTCTTGATTATAATATACAGTCATATGCGTCATAGTCAGTTAATTAGAGGTCTTTACAACATTTATGTCTTCATAACTTGTTTAATAATTATTACCAGCATCAATGTGCAATAGTTTTTCACGTTACATTACTGCCTATTCTGACTTCCAGTAACTGTTGATATAATTTGAAGTTCTCAATTCCAGAAAAAAAAATTTCTCGTTACAAATGAGCTGTGCTTACGAAAATTACCGAATCCTGAACAGTTTCGTCACTAAATAATACGCTCATTCTCCATAAAATGAAACTTTTGAGAGCATCTTTGCTAAACTTATTCTCATAATAATTATATCTAAGCAATTTTAGAAAATCTTTCAAATAAAAGTATATCTTATTACCTCAAAATATCCTTTTTTAAAACTTCTTCAGTTTTCCATTTGAGAGTTTTTGCGCTAATTAAAAAATTTTGAAATAATTTAATATTAAGCATTTGAGAAAGTTCTTAAATTAAGTAAAAATTCACTCATATATCTTGGTGAAATGCGTCACTAAAAGATTCAAAGGTGAATTTTGCCAGAAATTAAAGATTGTTATCAGTTTTCACACTGGTATTGTTGATTCGATGGGTCAGAGGTAAATGGGTCGTTGAAAACAAGGGATTTACCATTCATTTAATGCAATTACCAAATTCTCCTTCATTTTTCTGAAACAAATGTGGAAATTATTTGTTTGATCTTATTTCTGAAGAAGATCTTTTCTTCTTCTTCTCCTTCTTCTTCTTTCTTTCGAAAACTTTGGCATTTCCCGGGAATTTTTACAAATTTTATACTAAAATTATTATTTCTCTTATTTTTACTCGCTTTCTTGTGATGATGCTAAGAAATGATCCCTTAAAAGTCTGAATTTCTTCTTCACTTTCGTTTTCGGCTTAAAATCTTTTTCTGCCATTTTGTATAAAAAACGCACAAAGCTTATTTAGCTTTTATCGGTTTTGTTGACAAATATTTTTAGATGAAATAATAATAAAATATCTGATAATGGAGATTGAAATTTTACTTGTCTATATAATTTTTTATCGAATTATATGTTATCCAAATTTGAATAATTTTATAAAATATTTTATGCACTTTACAAAGTTAAAGGATTCATTCTCATAACTAAATTATAAAGATAGCAAAAGCTAAAAAGCTTATTCTATCTCAGGAAATATTTTAAAAAAATTTGATCTAGACTTTATCAACAATAAAGCTATTTAATGAATAATATTTGATTATTAGAAATGAAGCTACTTTAATGATTAATTTTTGTGAAAAAAAGCCTTAGAGAAGCAGAAGAATTATCTTAAATAAAAAAACTGTAAATTAAATAATAAATATTAATTAATTTTATTGATGAAGAGTTTGTATTAATTTTTAGAATTGATTTTCAGAAAAAAAGCAAATCTTAGAGAAGAAATTTTAATCTATTGATATAGCTAGAAAAAAATGTAATTTATGTAGTCAATCAGCAAAAATTTTTAGTTCTTAATTAAAAATGAATTTGAAGGATTAATTCCAAATTTAAAATTAGTGATCCACTTTATGATTTTGATCTCCGATATTTTTTAAATTTACCATCGGAATAATATTTTTTCCTTTGAATACATACTTGTGATATTATGACTACTCTTCCAGAGAGTATCTATTAAATACATATTCTGTGAAACAGTAGTAATTATAATTATGTTTCTCATTTCTATGAAAAGTGGTACTTACTATCTTAAATTATGCTTTGCATACCTTCATAAATTTTTTTTGTGATTATTCTGTACTACAATATTGGTATTATTAATTAAAAAATCAAATTTTTCTAGATATTTTTGAAATATGGATTGGTTAATTTAACATGAATTTTTATATTACTTTATTTTTGATTTGTATTTGATATTGTTTGCTGTTGATTTAAATTATATCAATATGTATACCATTATTTATTGCTATTTTTCTGAAGTGAAGTATAAAATTTGTATCAAATGTGAATTTTACAGGCCATAAATAGTCAGAAAAAATGTTATCTTCAAATTATGCTATCATCAAAATATTATTATTATTTGCTTTCACTACGGCAACAATCTTTGCAGCGATGAATTACGAAGATAATGATTTGGCTAAAGGTATAGTTATCAAAATAGTTCCTAAAATTTGTAATTTTAAAGAGAATACTGATAAAATTAGTTGATTAACTGTATGATAAGAATTTATGTAATCAGTAATGTATGATTATAGTTTTGTCAATAAGCATTATTATAATCATTAAATTTGCATGGAACTAACCTGTAATTAGAATTTAAGTTGTTGTGCATAAGCATATGTATTAAGAGAAAATTACTGCAATTTACGATTGTCGAGTTGATTACTTCCATTAAAATTTTTTTCTTAATAAAAAATTAACCTAGTTTTAATTACAGTTTGTCGACCTCTGGATCGACAACTTGACCTCTTATTCATTTTGGATGGTTCTGGCAGTGTTAGTGGAAGTACTTTTGCAACACAAATGGCAATGCTTAATAAGTTAGTTTACTTTGAAATATATCAAATAATAAATATAATATAATTACTGAAATAAAAGTAAGTTGAGCTAAACTTAATAAAACTTTTAAATTCAAATTTGAAGTATTTTGTCTGTGGAAAAAATTATAATTATTAATTACAATAAAATTAATTATATGCTTCAGTAAGTTCGTTTCAGAATAGTTGATTTAATTGAAATTGGTCCAAAACATACGCAAATTTCTGTTATGCAGTATTCATCCTACACAAGAGTTGAATTCAATTTTATTGCTAATTCAGTAAGTTTAAAATTTAGAAATTTCATACATGAAAGTGACAAAATTTGGTAAAGGCTTAAATGCTTGAATGGTTATTTATAAGTTAATAACATTTTTATATAAATAATGCTTCAGTTAATGTTTATGACGAGAATGATTTAGTATGTATAAGTTGAAAGCGAAAAATTCACGTGTATGACTGATTATATCCATCAACAAAAAATGAGATAGAATTCTGAAATACTTAATTAAATTTGGAAAATTAATGTTCAATTGTTTGAGACGACAATGTGACACAGAAATCGCCTATAGCATTTGTTCATTTTTTTTCTTCCTAATTTTATCATAAGATTAAAAAGTAGACGTGATGGCATCGTTGATAAGCGAAATGATTAAAACCTGAAATCAAACTATTTCGATTTTACAAAAATAAGATAAAAAGTCATAAAATTTATTTATTTTTCTTCATAAATTAGGATGAAATAAATTTAGCGCAAAAATTATTTAAAATAATATTTTAAGTAATTTGTCTTTTTAGAGGAACTTTTATTTCTACTAATAAAAGTTCGCGCCAAAATTTGCTATTTAAAAGCAAAGAAATTCTGAAACTCATTTGAATTGCTTTCACTTTTTTAATTGCATGAAATCTTTTTTAATTCTGTACATTATACCTGTCATCCTGCAATTTCTTGCTATTATATAACTGTGAAAGGCTAATAAATATTTCGTTGGATACAATTTGAAAAAAAGAATTATTCATTTATTTCAAAAAAGTAATAATTTTTATTCTATGGAATTGGAATATTATCGTATTAGGACAACATAACCTTTTAAGTTTTGAAATAATTACTTCGAAAAATATCTTACTGATATTTTCCATTTATAAGCAGTTTGTTTGAGCACTACTATTTGCAATTTAAGATTCAAATTGAAACCTATTTATTAATTAATAAAAGATATTCTAAATTTAACTTTAGTTAAAAATGTACTTTTCGAAATTTTTAAATTATAATTTTTGGAAAATATTTCAAATTTAAAAATAAACCTTTTGTCAAAAAAAATTTTTCAAAAACAAAAATCAAACTTCTATTGAGCCATGAAAGCTTCCAGCTCTATCATTTTGCTAAAAATAAATTGTAACTTCAGTACATTATTATTTTAATATTTTTAAGCAACTTATTACAAAAACTACTCTTTATCTGCTTCTCATGTCTTTTTTATATTTTTAAAAATTTCAAGTTTTATTGCGTAATTACGTAATTATATTTTGTAGAACAAAGAATCACTTCGCGCAGCACTGCAAAAAATTCGACATATTTCGGGAACAACCAAGACAGGTAAAGCGCTTGACAAAGCTCTTCACGTTTTTCGTCATGATCCGAGTTCAGGAGCACGATTGAATCAAGATGACGTAGCACAAGTATTATTGTTTTCTCTCTAATTTTATTCTTTTATTTAAAAATGTTTTTCAGCCTTTTAGCACATACTTTCAAATTACAGGAATTTATTTTAACTTTTACTTTCTGTTTTTGATAAATTTTGAGCCACTTTTTATAACTTGAAAACCTAATTTTGTACTGACCTAAAACCACAATGTCAAGAAATATATTTTGTTTAGTTGAACTTTTTTCAAAACAGATCTTCAATGCAGGTAGCTGTTGTTGTCACTGACGGTCATTCTCACGATGATCCTGTACCAGCTGCATTACGGCTTCGAGAAGCTGGTGAATTACTAATAATTTAAATACAATCTGAAATAAAATGTTCAGACTTAATTCTTTAAAATCAATTTATTAAAAATTTTATTTTGCATCTGATTCTCAGCAGTAGTTTACAGATTGGTAAGAACGAAAACTTCATGTATATGATAATTGCAACTTTTGTTTTAGTGATATATTTTCAAAAAAAAATTTAAAATCTAGTAAGACTAAAAAAACTTCGTGCTTGAATTTCAAAGCTAAATTTTACAAACTCTAATATTTCAAAGAATGTTTTATTGAAGGTGTTCAAATACTTGCTCTTGGAATCGGCTCACATATAAATATGGGTGAGCTGTATGAAATTACGGGAGACGAAAGTCTCGCTTTCCAAAATCTCACATCTCAGATATCTCTTGATCAGTTTGTTCATCAGTTTAAAAAAATTGCTGTTGGTGAACACTGTGATTTTTCTAGAGGTTAATTTTGCAAATAATTTTTGCAAATTAAAAAATTCTTAATTTATTTGCTAAAATTGTGGAAACTGTAATTTTGTAAAAAATATGTTCTGTAATTCTTTTTTTCAACAACTTCAATTGCATTTTTGGAACTTTTTCAATATTTAGAAAATATAAATTCAATAAATTTTATTTCAGGTCAACATGGAGCTGAAATAAATTGTCGAAGTGATTCTGTAGAAATTGTTATTTCGACAGTAAATCCATTCCGTGGTCATCTTTATGTTTCTGGTCAATTTTATCGTCCAGAATGCGTTGCAACTGCACCTAATTCAACATCTAAGGAAATTCAGCTGGCAATCAATCTAACTTCTTGTAACATTCAGAGACAAGTGAAGGTAATTAAAAATACTACTATAAGTTACTTTTTTATGACTTCACTCACTTACTTTATGACTTTGATTTTACTCTTAGTATTGTAATGACAATTTTAAAACTATAATTTTAATATTTAGACAGTTTTACTCGCTTTTTGCAACCAACAAATGCCAAAATAATTCAATAATGAGCTTTTAAAAAAATTATAGACAGAAAGCACGTAATATGAAGATTCTAAACTTGATTCTACATTTTATCATTTAAAGTTACCAAGTTATTTTTGATTACATTCAAGAATCGCATTTCACGTAAGTAAATAATTCAAATGAATTCTTAAGATTGGAGTAATAATTTGTAATAATTTCAGTTGAATCCGAAAGGGATACTATTTGAAACAAGTGTTGTATTAAAATTTCATCCAGATTACAACACCAAAACAGACAAGATGTTCAAGGTGCACTGTTTTTATCCTGAAAAAGCAGTTAAATTTCCGAAAAAGTATGCAAATAATCGAATAGCCAACATCGACAGGTGACAAAAACTTTATCAAATACGTGATCATTTTTATCATTAACGGATAAAATGATTGTCAAATAAATTATAAAATATTAAAAAATATTTGATTTTACAATTTTTGAAAATAAAAAAATTGTCATTTGATATGCTTTTTTAATTGAATTGATTTTTTTGCAGAATTTTAACAACAATGCGCAATTAATATTACTTACAGTTTTTGTACTTTAAATAAATATTAAAAAAATTTTTTTTTATACTGTAAAAAAACCTTTTTGTAGCAACGAAATACGCATGCCTTGTTCATATAAGATTCTATCAAACATAAAACCAAATGAAAGATGTAAAGTGGAGGAAATTCGCGTTGGAGACCCAGTAATTCACACATGGGAATGTGATAAAGGTTGAAGCAATTTATGTTAATATTTTAAAAGTATTCAGAATATGCAGCGATTGTTTAACAGAAAATTGTAGTGAAAAAAATCAAAAAATTAGGCATTATGTGAAGTATCACTGACATTTTTGTGAAATCAAACAACACAAAAATTGTTTTGTTTTCAAATTTAAAAAAAAACACAAAAATATAAAAATTAAATAATACCGTCAAGTTCTCAAAATTTTACAAAATTTTTACTTAAAATAGCATTGTAAATGGAATAGATTTGCTATCATAATACAAAAATTTACAAAATACTCAGAAAAGGGTCTGTGCTTTAATACTTTAAAACAAATTAATCACAAATGCAAGCAAACTTCGACTTTTAATATCAGTAGATAAAGTATAACAAATATAGAACTAATCTGAGTTTCCTTTATTAATCCAAAGATTTTTTCATACAGATTCCTTCGATACTTATCAATCGATGCTTGTCCACAGTTGTGTGATTATAGATCTCAGAAATGGACAAAATAAAACAATTATCGATTCTTCAGGGTAAGTTTGGCTTAATTTGAATTTTTAATAGCTTAATACTAATTAATCAGTCCTATAAAAATAAATATGAAATGGTCAGATGTGCCATCGATGGATCAGTTCTCGATCCACCAGAATATCCCGAAACATTGTCAGTATTTGCTTATGGTAAGGCGGTAAAGTTCCCGGATAGTTCTATGATCAAAATAAAATGTCAGTTACGGTTTTGTGATCGTCTGCTTGGAGAATGTGACACCTTTTTGGTTAGTCATTTTTGATTATTTTGTATAGAAATGAATATTTTATTGACAAAGAGGACCATTTTGTATTTTATATATAACAAATCGCGCTTGACCTTTACTACTATTATATATTACATTTTTTGATTAATAAATTAACAGATTATCTACATGACTATATTTCTACATTACTGATAAAAACTTGAATTGGATATGAAAGTTAGCTTGCAGCCTCCTCGTTGTCGTCGAATTCGTCGTTTTGCTTGGAGAAATGCTGAAAATACTGAATCGGTGGATAAACTTAATAAAGTAAGCTTTGTAAAAAATAGCTAAAATATTTGTATACCCTTTTTTGCTAATAAAGCATAGAAAAGTAGACTATACTCATAGATAGTTGCGAATAAAGACATAAAGTAGACTATACTCATAACCACGACTAAAAACATAAAGAATTTTAAGATCTTCTAATTTGATACTAACTCAGGAATTAAGTCTTGCATGGGATTTCGCTAATTCTGAAAATGAAAGTGATGATTATGAAGATCCAGAAGATACGTCAACCACTTTATCAAGTGCTATCACTTTAGCACCACTAGTGACTTTTCATCCTGTGAAGCAAGAAAAGGGCTAGTTTTTATTTTTGTTCTTCACTTTATGCAAAAATAATTAAAACATTAAAGGCAAAAGTTATAATTTTTCAGTGCTTCATCACTTTCCTGTTGAATAAGTAAAACAAATGTAAGAAAATTATTAAGGAGGAATAGAATTAGAGAGTGAGAATATTAGTAGATCAAAAAAGAGCGGAGTAAAATTAGCATAATTTGAATTATTTAGGCAATTTTTTTTAGTGATGACACCACGCAGACATCTTAAAGTTGAAGAAAACGTAGATACAACTAAATCAGTACCAGTATTGTCAGGGCGTGCTACTGCTTTTGACGTAAAAGTTCCTGTAAAATTAGCAACGAAAGATGAAGCTGCAGTGATTGTACAATCGCCTCGAACAGTTATTACCGACGGGTTTGTTTGTATTTTCTTTACTTTTGAAATTTGACTTATTTAATGAACCACGCTGAAACTTGACTTTGTTTCTTTTATGAATAGAAGAGGTAAGAAAAAATAGCTTAAAATATTGCATTTCTGGCTTATGTTTTTGACTATTACTGCTATGTTGTATTTCAATTATTAAATAATATAATTAAATTCACTAATCAAATTATTGATTGAAAAGTATCATCGAAGAAAATAAATTATTCTTGCTTCATTTGTTGATGATTCAATCATTTTCAGTCGATCCCCAGATGGTCAGCCACGTGTGATTAATTTTCCAGTCGGTGGAATGGATGTTAAAATTACAACACAGAATGTAGCAATTGTAAGCAATGAGCAATTGAAAGAAAAATATCAAAAAGTAACTTTTACACTTTATAATATTGATTTCAGATATTAAAAATTGATAATTAAATATACAATTTGCTATTTTAGATTAATTTAGCAATTATAGCCAAAATAAAGTTTAAAATTGTGATAAAAAATACAACGCAGTAAAGAAAAATTGTACAAAACAAAATGATCCGAATAAATATTCCAAAATCAGAAATGGATAATGAAAACTTTTTAGAAGCAAATTCAAGTTCTTAAATTTTTACAGTAATCATTTTCAGGAGATAAAACAAAAACAAGGAAAAGTAAAACAAATATCAAATAATACATTCACCAAACTGCCATCATTACATCAGCCAGCAGAGACTGAAATACTTGATGAAGTTTCGAAGGATACTGATAGACTGCGGAATCAACTAAAATCTAACTTTCTCAACACCAAAACCAGTGAACTGATACCTAATGAAACCAGAAAAGCAAATATTCTAACCAATAATTCTTTTCAAGAATATGAAAAACAATCCAGTAGGATACACTTCCATCCCGATGTATGTTTATTTTTCTCACAATATGACTGATTAATTTCCATTAAATCAAAAACACTTTAATAAATTTGACTCATACTTTATTTCATTATTATTCAAATTCAGTTATTAGTTTTTAGCGCTAATGGCTGATCTAAATTTTATACTTTTATTAATAAAATAGGCATTTGTTAATGGCTGATCTGAAGACTAAATTCACAATCCATATGAATTCTGAAAAATGATAATTGAGCATACAATACAGGAACTGGGTGAGGAATCGTCTGAAGAAACTGAACCAACTGTACAACTTGCAGAAATGATAAGGAATACAATTCGATCTGAAGTTATCGGTATTGAGTCTCAGGTAAATACCGTATTTGATTTGTAATTCCTTATCAATAAAATCGACTTTTATTCCATTTAAATAAAATATTGTGGAATTTGACGAGGAATGTGCTTATTCATTGTACTAGCTTTATTCGTAGTTTAGATTATCAATGTTCGTGATTTGGAAGTAATGGGTGATTCCAATTCGAAAGAAAAATGGTGTAATAGATAAATGTGATAGCTGGATGCAATGCATTGATGAAAACATTTTCTACAAAAAACAAATTATATACAAACTTTTTACTACACCAAATTTTGTACATCTAAAACATAACCTGTTAATGCTTTTGATTGTGATATAATTACACGACTAAGATTAACTGCACAAACCAAAACTTAATACCGAAACTTTGAGAAAAAATCCACATTCATGGATAAGAAATCATCTTGATTCCCTTACCGTCTACTGGACCACGAGTGAATTTATGAGTAGTCCTTCCATTCTGGTTAATCATAAATTTAATGTAAAGTATGATAAAGTCACGGAATTAAACTGAATCAATTTGCTTATGCTTTACAATTTTTTCATCTTTGTGAAATAGCTTACATACGCACTTTAGAATGTTCTGTCTTTACTGTATATATATATGTTGTGTAGCTGAAAAACATTGCGCTAATCGGAGTCTAATACACCCATGAAAAACTTTATTATAGAGATAAGTTTGAATGCTTCAGAAACAATTAGCACTGCTCAAATTAATCAACAAAATATTGAAATGTAGTGTAGAGGACAGGTCAGGTTGAACACTGCTAGAACCAAGCTAAGATTATATAATTAGTAGACATATGAGATGAGAAAATTTCCTATTAAAAATCCAACAACAAGACCTTAACAAATCAGTGTTAATAAGAAAGGAAACACTTTAAATACGACTAAACTGCTCTATAGGTACTCATCAAGAGAACTAAATTCAAAACAGATATCCATTTTTCGATTTTTGTCAAAAGCTGTAAATCTCTGCCATTGTTTGCTTAGCAAAATTTAAATAGAGAGAGAGGTTGAAATCATCAGAGCCCAAACAGATTATGCATGAATATGAACTATGTCTGAAATAGATAATATCAAACAGCAAACAAACATTTATAAGCGGTACACATTGTATACAACGAATAATGTGAGTACGAATAAAACATTAGCAAGTTGAAAAAAGCAGAATGCATAACCCGACGTTCCAACCACATAATAAACTGAATTGGAAGGGTAGTGACAACTCGTAAATCACTAAGATATCGGAGAACATCACAAATGATTTAATAATAAGCATCATACAATATAGACTCTAGCATATAAAAGCTTTTTTTTGATACAAACAAATCTTGTATATGGCAAATTTATCAATTAAATTTAACACCCAGAAGGTAAAAAATGAAAATGAAGTATCCACGACTACATCTGTGAAATTTTTGAACAGCGTTTTGTAAACATTGAAAAGTGTCATCATTCTCTAAAATCTATACCTGAACTAAAAGCGTTAGTTATCAAAACACAGTCATATGAAACTTTCATTTTGATACTTCATTTTCGCTCAAAATTTTACAAATAGTACCAATGTTAATAAACAGGAAGAACAGGCTTGACAACTGATAACATGTTGACAAATTGAAAGATTTCTCAGACTACGCTGAAGATTACAAAACAGACTTACGTTTTATGAGTGATTTACACTGATAAATAAATACGCTGGAGTCAGCGAAAGTCTTTTTGTGCCGATATCTTCATATTCTAATACAATAACTACATATGCTTTAAATAATAGACTAACTAAATCTTCAGAAAGCTAACCAAGTAAAAAGCTTACAGTTGAATAACTGATCAAAAATATTATTAGAGTGAAAAATTAATCTCACAGCGAAAAATAGGATGGAATCACAAAAAGGAGATAAACCTTCGTATTAATTCAAAATTTTATACAAAATACCTTGAGCATAGTAAACTAAAAAGCAAATGCATAAGCCTCGATATTTCTATCAAATAATTTTAAAAAAAGCAATGTTTCAAACTTCAATTTCAGCACTTCTGTGACAATAACTAGTCGTAAGAAACTTGATCTCCATCTGAAATATGAAGTTAGAAGCATAGAAAAAAACGTAAGATATACAATCTCTAGTACAAAATATGTCGCAAGTTTTATTTTAAATAAAATAAAACTTACATTCAACAGATGAAAAATGGATATAGCACATGAAAATAATATGACACTGAGAAAGTTAAAAGCCATTATGATGTTTTTTTTCCCAAATTTTAGTCTTCAGAAAAATTTTAGAGTGCATCAAACACAGAAACCGTTAATTATTCAGCTGCAGCACTTTTTCTTTTCTTGCCGCTTGAAATTGGAGCCTAATCGCACACCGCCAGCACTATTAGGAAAAATAGGTTGAGGAGCTCGAAGTTTTGCTTCTAATACTAATCGCGTTATACAATTAAACATCTGCAAAATTAAAATGAAAGTATTCAATATTATATTCTATCCTCCATCGTAATGAGTTCTAAAAAAACTGAGAGGATTCAGATGCAACAAATTTAACCTCTTCAACATTGATGTTTTCCTTAGCAGAAGTTTCAAAAAATGGAATTTTCATCGTCTCTGCAAATCGACGAGCATCGATTTCTAGCACTACTCGTCGTTCTGGATCATCAGCTTTATTTCCAACTGTAAGCAAAATTAACCAAAACTTTACTATAAAATTTTTTACTCATTTTCAAATTTTAAATAAACAGAGTTCATTTTATAGCAATTTGTTATCTCACCAAGAACTTTTTGCACATTTTCACAATTTGTATCAATTTCATGCAACCACCGTTTTACATTGCTGAATGAGTCACCACTAGTTACTTCATAAACAACAATTACACCATGCGTCCCACGATAGTAACTGTAACACAGATTTTTAGCTTTTAATATTTTAATTTTTTACTGCGAGCACCAACTGATCAATGTTATTTTTGAAATGCTATGAAAATACCACGCAAATGAATACTACAATGATTTGCACATTATTCATACCAAAAAAGTTGAAAGCAAACTTGCAAAACTGTATTAAATGAACATACGTGGAAGTAATTGTGCGAAACCTTTCTTGGCCTGCTGTGTCCCATATTTGCAATTTTATTCGTTGTCCATTAATTGTAACCGTTCTAATTTTAAAGTCAACACCTATTGTTGTGATATAATTTGCTGTAAAAACAAAGATATTTTAAAACATATAACAAGGATTTTTTTGGTTAGCACTTTGGATAGCATCACAATAACAGTACATAAAATCATGATGATTTCAGATTAAAGAATAATTTATAAACGCAAAAAATACTATGTATATCAAAAAAAAAACAGACGTATTTAAAACACAAAATAAAACATACGAGAAAATATATTGTCCGCAAATCGAAGCAGTAAACTACTTTTTCCAACTCCTAAAATGAATAATTCAGAAAAAATATGATGATTCATAATAGTAAGCTTTGCAGTAAACTTTAACATTCCATACCATCAATTACGGAAATTATGCAAATTTTTGATAATAATAATTAATTTAAATATTGAGTAAAATTTTGTCTCTTGTCATTAAAAAAATATAATTCTCACCACTATCACCAATGATTAGCAACTTGAAGAGATGGTCGTAATCCCGCGGACCTGGAGCCGCACTCATTGAATTTCCTCTTTTCAGCCAACTTTAAGCACAAATAATTGAACAGCAGTTGTTATTTCTCGAAAATAACTTCCACATCCAACAATTTACTCTTATCTAGCAAAGAACAATTATTAATAATCTTTTCCACGTATCTCATTACGTAATAACTTAATAACTCATTAAAAAAATTTAATAAAACATAAGTACTAAACAAGACGTCTCTAAGATTACTATCAACATTACAGTACAAAGAAACGCAATATATTTTATACTTACATGTGTGCAATAACTGCTTGTAGTAAAGAAATAACGCAGTACTACATTGAAAATTTTGTATCCTTGTAAAGTTTTAAAAGTCATATACTTTTTTATAAAAATTTAGCAATCGTGAGCGTGTTAGGATTTTATATTATTACACAAAAATAAGCATTTTTGATTGTGATTTATATAATAATTAATTTATTTTTCTAAATAATTTTATAAAATTTTAATTAAATTTAAGATTAAGAATTAGCATTTCAGTTGACTTAGAAAATATGCAAAAAATGTTAAGAGTGCTATCAATTGAAAGCAATTAAAGTATGTTCATTAGATATCATTTTGTATACATTTGTTGTTAATTTCTGTTATGATTATATTTTGTTTGATTTTTTTCAACGAAATTCAAAGTTTTGGCTAGATGATGCCATTTAAGATTTTGCAATATCACTAAAAACTGGTCAGTATTCTTAACTTTAAATTTTAAAAGCTTGAATAATTATTGTAAATTCTAATATCTATTTCGTTTATTGAAAAAAATTTGCATAACAAATTCGATATAATAGTGTTATCAATACAGACAATATAGTAATATGAATGTTATGTATTATATTTATTTCTTCAAATATTCTTATTATTAGTAAATCATCATTTCTGTAGTACTGTAGCTTATTGTAGAAGCGTGATATAATGGAAGATTTTGATAGAGTATTCCATAAATTATTAATTAACATCTTGAAAACGAATACCGCAATATTTATTCAAACACAGATAAAATTAATATACTTTGGATTTTATTTTTATATTGAACATGTTTGATAATTCTGTTTAATTGGCGATATATAAGAAAATAAACCATATATTCCATGTTAGACAACTAAATATGAGTGATATTAATGATGTTAATACCAGATTGTCAAGTACGACTCAAGATTATATAAAAAATTAGAATCATACGTACAGAATCCGTTGATTGCAACTATATGTGCGATTAAGTAACGGTAGTGTCATATTCCAGTAGCAGATTTAAGATTGATGTTTTGTGTGAACATTGTTCGTATGAATCTATTCAATTCTGAACATCTGAACTTTTGTGACCTTCAGGTATACTCTAAGTATTCAACTTCATATGATCTGTATTGTTCGTAAATTAACATCTGAACTTTTGTAACCACCTAAAACTCTTAAAGAAGAACTTGCTACGTTGGTTTTAAAGAAATATTACCTAAGCATCTTAAGCACTGGCTATAGATTATGATTTTTTCATGTGAAATAAATCTAATAATCCTTCTGAAGCCAAGCAATTTTGAAATTGCATTGAAAATTTAGAATATCACAGTATGTATGCAATTATTTTTGATGTATTTGCAGCAGAAGGTTGCAAAGAAAAGTCTCTTATGTAATAACGAAGTAGACGGAAATGGTAATGCAATATTTAAATTTGCAAATAAATTTAAAAAAAATAACTGTCATCTGAAAATTGCTCAGAAATTTCAAAAAAAATTACTCGTTTATGTAAACAATTTTAGGGAAAGTACGTTCAACTGTAGGATACTTAATGCTTTAAAAAGTACTAAAATTCAGTGCTAAGCTCTTTATTAGATTCTGAACTGATCAGTTAATTATCTCTCTAACATTTTTCAAATTTGACTGTCGCGTTATTTATATTAATATCACATTATTTATAGTGATAGCAATGTAAAATATCGTGTGGAATGATTCGTTGTAGAATAATTGTCCAAAAAAAATAAAAAAATTTATTTTCTATATATCAATGAAAAAAATTTGCTTATTGTGCCTTAAAATTGCTAGCATTAGTATTGTTGTTTCAAATAAATACGTAAACTTTGCAAAAATAAATATTTACTTTTTTTATTTCACTTTCTTCCGATAAGCAATCATAAAATAAACTAAAGTTTAGTATGCATCAAAACTTCCATAAATGCTAATAATTAATTAATTAATTAATTCTATGGAAATTATTGTCAGTCAAGTGAAGGTTAAGATTAGATTCTAATATGACTTTATATGGAGCTATATAAGTTTTTCTCATGTACATTTATTTAAAAGTCAATTTTAGTTGACGGGGTAAAAGTTCACATTACCTAATGAAGAATGAACTAAGTTTATTCCGTTGATCCTTTTGTGAAAAAGTTTTTTACTAACTTTTTTGTATAGCATTTGATAAAAATGTACATTATATCATTAAAAAATAGTTAGAATTTTATAGCAAATTTCTTTTCAAAACCATTTCAAAAAAATTGAAAACAATACAAAAATTGAACCAAAATTTGACAAACTCTAACTAAACCATTCACGCATAAATTAAGTATATCTGTTCTAAAATCTTTAGCAAATCTTACAATATCCATAATTGACATTTTACGAAAACGAGAAATACATAAATGCAATTCACGCTCGCAAGTAATAATGCAAATGGATATATCCGAGAATACTTCTTATGAATAGAAAAAGTAATGAATCAAACGAATTTAATATGAAGATAAAAAATATTAAAAAGTGAGCAGATATTGAAGAATGCAACAAAAATACATATCTGATCAGTGTTAAGCTGAGTTTGTTTGCCATACGCACTTCTGTCTACTCCAAGAATTCTTACATATTATTTGTTGAAAAAATTAAATGCGTTACTCACAGTTTATCCTTCAATTAATACAATTTACTTTAAATTCTTTCAAGTTAGTAACTTAGAAGAATTTGAAATGTGGCGGCTAATCCCTAGTACAAATATTAGCACTTGTTATGCTTTGTGCTAGATTCTTTCTATTCATCCCATCAGAATTGCGCAAAGAGATTCAATCAACACTTAAGTTACGTATTCATCTACACAACAGATCTAATCATAATATTTATTGAACACGACGAATTTAGGGATAGATTTTAGGTCAAACTTCACTTCTATTAATGATTACTTTCAAGCTAAATGCTAGTATACTTCTTGTTCCATTTCATTAAAAGTATATTTATCTAATTATAATAATATTTAATCATTGATAATTTTGTCATAATCGAATAAAATGTATCAAAGAGTACAGTATTGTACTGTAACTTGTAAATGCATATAACTTTAGTACAATAAGCACTGAAGGCTTAATTAATGAAAGCTGCACACATTAAAATATTAAACAAGTTTCAAGCTCATGAGTATTAAACGTTTGATTCAACTCCACGCCTGGAAACCATTTCTGGAAACAACTTCAACACTTCAACTATTAGAACTATTTATTTCAAAGTGTATAAAATAAATAGCAGAGAAAAATATTAAAAAAAGAGAAACTTCATTCTAAATAGACAAGTTTTTTCTTCAATCTTATATTTAAAATAAGAATGTTAGATACTTTAATTAAAAAATGCGATACAAACTATGATAATAATGAAAATAAAGAGGTAGAAGGAAAGTGATAATTTAAAATGTACCAAAATAAGCACTGACTAATTACCGTACAAGAATAATTTGTAGAAACTCACTGATACTGTATTTTTCTGTTTACAGTAACAAACAAACTGATTGAATGCAATGATTTATTCTCTAATTTTGTTTCATTGTTTAAAGTTTCAGATGAAAGAGACAGTTTTGAAGTTTTACACGTTCACAATAAATAATTTTTTGTCTATTTTGTTACTCAAGTCAATTTGAAGAAACACAAGAAAAAATATTCTTTATGCCACAATTTTGTATTTCGTTACCATCTGAATGCTCAACAAATCGGGAACTTGCCTGGAAATAATAAGCTTTTTGACATTCAAAAAGTATATACAAAAATTTTTTATGGATATCTGATAAAATGTTGTGATAAAAAATATAATATAGTAAAAACATTAAATCAAAGCAAAAACAATATGTTAAAATTAGGCAGAAACAATTTTCGAATAAGATCAACAGATTTACTCATTATCTTTTCAACAATCGATATTTTCCTTCCAATAAATCACGTAAAAATGCAAGAATTGATATTAAAGCACGCGGCCGCTGAATAAAATTACACGTGAATTCCTGATGATGAAAAATAAATATGGATGATCTGCACGAAATATGATCTTAGGTGAAAGAATTATTGGAGCACTGCGCAAGCGTAACTCAATTCCAGATGCTGCCGATGCTTTTGTACCTTCTTCATTCACCTATAAATTTTTTAATTTTTTGAAACAATTAATATAGTATAAAAACTTATTTATTACTTGCAAGCAAAATGCAAATACAATACAATAAATATTAAAAACTTTCATTAAAAAGCACTATAATTAATTAGTCAATATTAGTGCTTTTAATTAATTAATTGTGCAATTTTTGATACTTCTTTGAATTTCAAATATTCTCCTCCTGTTATGCTAAAAGAAAAGTTAAGCTTCTAAATAATAATACATGTCAATGACATCTTTTCAATTCAATGCAATTACATGCAACTGACTGAATAACTTTGATATCAATCACTTAAAAGCACACAGTGATGATTGTAAGTATTCAGCAATCAATAATCACATCAGATTCCCTACACTAATTAAATTCATACCGTAAAAAGATGTACAAAAATTTCTACAAAAAACGTTTGTTTTTTTATACCTCAGAATTTAACAAACCTCAATGTAAGACTGATGGAGAACAGCACTAATGTACAGAGACTCATCACTGATTCCTGTGAAATTCGCTGCATAAGTAAACGCATCCTTCATGCCCATAGTTTGCAATGAACTTTTTAATTCTACTTTTTGCTCCAATTTAAACTTTGGCATTTCCAGCTGTTATCATCAATAACAAATTCGTAATTATCGTAATCTTAGTTAAAGTTGCTATCATTTTGCATAATTAATTCCGTCATCCGTTTACAAAATTTTTTTCGCACGAAAAATAGAAAGTTATTAATATTAATCATATGAAAGCAATGTTTACTTTAAATAAATAAATCAATACATACTTTCTAATAACTTATTAATCTATGAGTTTAATGTTAACTCATAGCATTATACTTTTTCAAAAATTCTCTTCTTCTTTAATCAGCTAAATAATGATCATTATTAATTTACTTACTTGGACTTCACGTTCTGTGCATTTTTGTATATAATCAAACAATTTTCGACCTGTAAGCTCTTTCTCAACATTAGATAGACCTAAGTGCTCTTTTGGAAGTATAATGAACATATAAATTTGACGACTTGAATATGGTATTCCCAATATTTGTACAAGATTATCTTCATAAAACGGAAATGATCCTTCTGTCGTCATCATTTCTACCTTAAACGAATCATTGACTATTATGGTAGCATAAGAATCAACACAAAAATTTAACATAACTGTGTTTTGAAATTTGATTTTAAAAATTTACACTTACTTTACTTCATTTCAAACAGCAAAATTTGAGTAAAATCTTACTAAAAATAAAAAATATATTATTAAAGCAGAATTTTGTATCAAAATATGATAAACTGTCATACAGTTTTATCACTTTTACTCAGACCTGTCTTGATCTTTCGCCATGGAAAGTTTTTGTTCGAGTCATTACTTTATTGAATATTTTAGCCCAATTATCTTTGAAGTAAATAGCATTGATAAGTAGCAATTTCGTATTCGAATTTATATTATCTGGACTGATAAAATTTTTTATTTTGTCTCTTGTCTTATGCATTACCCAATTGTTGATTTCCTATAGAATAATTGCTTTATAACAGCAATAATAAAATAACTCTAATACAAATACCAAATATGAAAATAAAGTAGACTAAAAATAAATTATCAAAATAACATGTAGCAAAAAGTTTAATAAAAAGAATACCTAAATGCATTTAAAAATAAATTATTATCAAAATAACATGTAAATTATCCAAGTTCAAAACTATTTTAGTGCCAAAATAAGCATAAAACTTTGTGCATAAAAACATTAATTTTCTATTTTGATAAGCTTTCCTTACAAAGCAAATTTTGTCTAACACATCGTTGAAATAAAATATTTAGCTGTGGACAGCAAGTAACAAGTTTACTAATAAAACTAAATTTTTATTTCAAAAGAACCAAAAAACTTTTAATCATTGCACTTAAATAAACTAATAAAGTTTATTAAAAAATCGAAAATAGCTAAAGTAACCTTTACAACAGTATCCTTTTGGTCGAAATCTACTTTCTCTAACTGTCCCACAAAGTGAGTTTGGATAAGGTCAAGGTAAGCTCGCTTCAGTTGGCAGTCTTGACGAATATAAAGTCGATTCGCTATGTCCAAAATATAATTTTTTTTTTCATTAGAAATTTCAGTGAGTAAAGATGAAAAATAACTGCTAATTTCACTGGCATTGTTTCCTGAAATTTTATATTAATAATTTGCATTGTTTTAAAAGTTTTTGCCTAAAATATGCATTGTGCAAGCACTGTTTATTATAATATAATTATTGTACGAAGAACTATTACTAACATAATAAACTGTGTCATGATGTATGCAACTAAACATATAATTGCTCACATAAGTAAATAATTATGTATGATGTAATAGAGATAATTATGAATAAATTTTGTGATTAATAGATAGTTAAAATTATTGACCTTTAGACAAAACATCAAGCATCTGTTCTTCTGTTTGACCTCCAGCACCAATATAGGTCATTGTTAGTGCGACTGCAACCGAAAATGGAGACAGTATGACGGATTTTTGTAAATCCGCGGTTGTCCTTAACAAATTCAGCGTAAAATCGGCTTGAGCTTCATCCATTGAAGGTATTCTACAAATTGCTTAGCCAAAAATAGAAAATATTTACTTGTAATAATAAATTACATGTGTAATTAACACAATAACTTTCCTAAAATTATATATCATCAATATAGAATTAATTAAAAAAATTAATGAAGTAAAGAATAATTACTTTAAAAATGCTGTTCAATATCATATTGATTCAGATAACACAAATAATTTATATATTATAAATACCTGATTTCAATCAATAAGTAATAGTATTCAATCAAAAATGTATTCAATAAAGCATATTAATGAATGTTATTTATTCTATTTAATATTTTTTGCTTCTACTAAAGTGATAGCAGCAATTAATTTTGTAGACTTACTTTAGTAATTACATTAAAAGAATTTTTGATTTTTATATATTATAAACACCGTGAGATTTAAATTTAATATCAATTTTTAAATATTATTCAATAGCTTGGAATATCTGATATAATACTTTAATCAGTGAGTACAAACAGAGTAAATACGAACAAGCTAACGCTTTTAGTGAATTGCTACTTCTGATATCAAAATGGCTATAATTACTATTATACTGTAAATACTTTTTCAGCATTATATCAAACTTATCACTACTTATCAACTCTTTACTGTTTATTTTCAACAGAATAGTTTCTCAAAAGTAACGCTCTTAGAAAGCAATAACTTACAAAATTTAGAAGTAAAACTAAAATAGAAATGAACAAAAATTCATCAAATTTTTTCTACTGCGCAAATTAAACAAATGCAATATTATTTATAACACAAAAGTAAACGAACCAAACAAATTAAAAGACCTTGTGATAACATAAATTATGACTTGCTTAGCAACTCGTGATTCACGTAAGTACATAATCACGTATTATTTGTTAAATGAAAAAAATAGGAATAAAAGTATTTTAATATTAATAAACATTTTACATGAATTACATTTATAGACAAATTTTAAGTAAATAGTATGAAAAATTTTTTCAAAGTTTATGATGCATTTAAACAAATAGTTAGATACTTTGGTATATTATGCAAAAAATGTGGTCTCGAACTAACTGCTCCATAACTTATCATTCATAATACATTTTTGACATTTATTTAGAATAATTATTAATGAGACGTGAGAAAATTATTTGTTGGAAAATACTGAGACAGAAATAAAATACGAAACAAATATTAATATAAACAATAAACTTACTCCACGTTATTGGACAAAGCTTGTGGTGTTGTTAGGCGTAATAGTGATAATAAGACGATTACAGGTAAAAAGTATAAGTTCACCATTCTGAAACATGCTAAATATGCTAAAAGTCAAATGACGGACAAAACGCTGTAGCAAATACAATTACTTTATTATAATATAAATAATAAACTTATTAGACAAAGCTGTATAATAATAAAAGTTTATTTTGAATATTCGCATTTTTAGCAAGTTTGCAAAGCTCTCAATTTATTTGTTTGACAAAGTGAATATAGTGAATATAAATGTCAGGCATGAGAATATCAAAATCTTTTGCTCAAAACTTTAAAATAGGTCATTAAAATGAAGATTAAAGAGAGCCAGTGAAAGGTCAAGAACAGATCATCGCAAATTTTTTACTCTAACAAAGGTAACGAGTAATTTAAATTAAAAACTAATAATTATAATAAGCAATAATTAAAGTGTATTAATTTAAATAGCTTAACAATCGAATAAAGTATGTTTTTTCACACTAAAAAACAAATTTGACATACTAAATTTATTTTACTAATGTGAGTTACATCTGCTAGCTGATAATCAAGCTTGAAAAAAACATTCAAATAATTCTTTTCAGTCAATCTTTAAGTTTTTCATTAAAAATAATTATTCGTATTGTATTAATGACATGTAAAACACTTTTTACATAATAACTATAATTCTTAGCATAAATGAAAGGGAAATTAAAGCTATAATTTCTACACACATTATCAGTAAATTGTGTTGAGAATTGCAATTTCATTGCATAAGTGATAAAATAACTTTCGATAGTAAATTAAATGTCATACAGACTTAGTGAAAAATAAGAAAATGCCAAGAAGAAATTACTTGCAAGTAAATAAAGTGGAAAAATTATTCTTTATTGAAAATTTTTAACAATTAATCTTCATTAAAATTTG